ATTATACTATAAGATGCAATATTCAATAAAAGTTTTACAATATACGAAATACATATAAACAATGTAAATATCTAAATACATAGACGATATGTAGAATAAATAAGCCAAATTGCAAATCTGAAAATATAATTAAAAAAAAATCGAAAATATATTTCACTAAACATGTACAAAAATATCTAAATACATACACGAAAATAAAAAAATAAAATAAAATATATGTTTCAAATTTCGAAATGAAAATAAAAATTCAAATAATTTGGCTTACAGTTTTATCATGCAGAACCAACTCGAGATATGATTTGTATATGCTGCCCCAGTCTTCGAAAAACATTCTCAAAAATCGAACTTTGAGCATAGGTCTATTAGACCTATTGACTTGTTTGATTAACCTAAATCCTTGATTCATTGTTTTGAATAAAAGACTGACTGAGGATATTTTTTATTCGCAGGAGGTTGACAGTGAGGAAGATGATGGCTCGATATTTTGAGATTTGTAATTTATAATGGGTAGAGTAGATATATATTCCTGTTAATATTTTTATTAGAAAATCTGAATCTGAATATACAGAAATCGGTTGGAACAAAATCAGAACAGATTTCCATACAATTAGATAATAAATTAGATAATAAACAAAGCCTTTTTTTTGTTATAGTAAAGATTTTACGTACTTTTTTTTTACTTACGGATGTTATGTGGTTTTTTTTTTTTGTTAAACCGATTTTATGGGATATAATACAAATACAATTGGAGGATTGAATAAAATCAGCACAGATTTCCATACAATTAGATAATAAGAAGGAATTAGATAAAAAAATTTGAATCTATTTTTTTTAGTATAGATAGACTTTACGTACAAATTTTGACTTCACCGATTTTATGAGATTTGTTTTGACAAAATCCATGTTAATATGGAATAAGACAAATAGATAAAGCCTTTTTTATTTTAGTAAAAATTTTACGTCTTTTTTTTTTTTTTACTTATCAGTTGTTATGAGATTTTTTTTCTTAAATTGATTTTATGGGATATAAGACATATAAATAAAATAATTAAATAAAATTCTGGATAGAAATAGCAATGCATTAATTACGTTGATTTTTCAACTTACTAAAAGGTAAATAGGATAACTTATTATATAAGTATAGATTCATTTGTCGCGTAACAAAATTATGTCACATAAAATGGTTTTGTATTAAAAGCTAGTTGGATTAAAATGGATAAATCATAAAAATATTTTCTCATTTGTGGATGAAATAGAAAAAGTAATGAGATATTAGATTGTGTTTGCCACATTTTTTAACTATAGTTACCATACAAACATAAATTGTTGAATTAATGAAGTAGGCTGCTAGCGTAAATGGTGCGATTATTAAAGCTCATTACCCTAAGGGCGTCTCACTATTATGACGTGAACAAAGGAAAAGTAAGAGAGAGAGTAGTCACTAGCTACTAACAAATAGCTTATCTATTTCACGTAGCCCAAGATCATGTGGGAGAAGTACGTGGGTCAAATAGTGTAAAATAAGTATTTTTCTTATCTCTCACATCAACGTCAGCTGACCATATAGCTAGTAATAACTATTACCATTGGAGATGCCCTGTTTAAATGTTGGCAGTGAGAAAGATGGGCTGCAATTAGTGCAAGGATAGATACCACTCCCTAGACATGGGTAAGGGTCGAAGAGGCCGGAAACTCCGTAAAGGCTGGTTTAGGGTGGTATTTTGTTCTTTTTTTCACCTGTCGAACTGGGCCGAGATCAGGCTGGTCCCAAGTCAGAAGACGGATCATAGTTGTTGTTTT